TGGATTACAGTGGATATGTATATATATAAATAAATAAATATATATATATATATATATATGTTAACAGATTAACTTCTATTTTTCTTTAAGTTATTGCATAACAATGTAAGTTTTTTTCAACAATTATAACTATCATAATTAGATAACTAATCAGAAAATATAATATGTTGTAAACTTTAAGAATAAGTTTAAAAATAATTACTGAAATGCATATGATACAAGCGTATAGATATGTAAATTAACATATTTGATATAGTTACCAAAAATTATATTAAATTTAATTTAATTTAAACATAAATATGATTATAAAAATAAAAAAATAAAAAATATACTTGTCATTTCAAAAACTATATTAAATTAACAAAGGGCGGGTCAGAATCTAGTTAATGTTAAATGAGGTAACTGTTGAAATAATAATTGTTGGGGAAGTTGCTTTAAGATTAAACTGATTGATATCAAATCACAGTATGATTTGACACTTCAAAATTAGAAGCACTGATCATAGTTTGAAAGACAAATATGGTCTCTACAATCTTCACATTCAAACTTTTTTTTTTTTTGCAGACTTGTTATAAATAATCGACAATTTTCGAATCCACAAGCAATAAATGAACTACATGTTAAAATAAATATGAACTACATAAAAATTTGAATCATTTATTTTGGTTAGAAAAACAATAATCGTATGATTTTGCTCAATCTTGCGATACGAACAAAGCAATTCTTCTTCGAAAATCAATCTTCGCTCATCTTTCAGCTTTGTTGATCCTTCTTGACGGTCACGAAAATGGCTACTAGGTCGATTCAAGGATCAGTGTTTTGTCCCAGCGGTGGATCTGTGTCTACGAGTTCCGACAAGTTGTTGAGGCCGGCGAGTTTCTTGGCGGCAAAGATTCCTGGAAACGAAGCGAAGATTAGTGGCAGACTCTCTGTAAGGGTGTTTGATACTAATGTGAGATAGCGCTCGTGTGGAGATTGAACTCATTCCAGTGTCTCCCAATCGAGGATGTGAGCTTATGTTGACTTTAGGATTTAGGGTTTAACAAGAATTTGATATTTTTTTTACTTGTTCAATGTGGATTAGAGAGAGAGAGAGAGAGAGGAGCAATTTGGTGACATGTCTGTAGGGGTGTGGTCGAAACCAACAGTAAAGAGGAAGACAGAGATTGTCTGTACCGTTGTTTGTCCTTCTACCAATAGACACGAGACATGATATGGAAACTGGGATGAATGTTTCTAGGATGAACATGTTAAACCCCCGTCAAGAGTTTACTTTTACAATTAAGCACTCCAAGTTGTGTCAGTTGTAACTATGATGCTTTGGCAATGATGTGGAAGCGGGAGACATACTCCTTGTGGATGGTATGTAGATCTCACTACTTGGTGTATATGGATTTTATATCGTCTTTCGCGTGGGATCTCATTTGGTCTCACTTCTTTTTGTTACCCTCCAACATATATAGACTGATGGTTCCGTACTATGTTTCAGGTGGTATGATTTCGTTTATGGGGAAATCTAAGATTAAAAAGTAAAAACTCTGTCAAATGTGAAGTTGTTGATGGTGGAGAACTTAAGTCAAGGAAACACTTGAATATCCGTGAAGTTGTTGATGTTTTTTATACGAGATTAAAGTTGATAAAAAAATAGAATTGATTTCATCTAGATTTTAGGTGATTTCATACCTAGAAGATGTTCAATGAAATGATTGGATAATTAATCAATATACTTTTATTTATTTAACCAAAATAAACTAATGCTAAAGTTGTTTAATAGCTATTATGACTTGAGATTCATGCATACTTGATGATTATTAACCAATATAAACTGATCTTAAGAACTTGATTAGCATCAGAACTGTTGTCATAGAAATTAATTAACTTAAATTAGTGGATCCTAAGCCTAATAGATAACAATAGTTCATTGTTTAAGCATCATATGTTAATATTTGATCATTTTAGTCAATAATCTTAACTCATTATTTGAATGAGAGGAATCGGATATCAAATATACCTAAAATAGTCATTATTTGTCACCTACAGTTATTATATAATATTTTCACAAAAAATAATATCAACTATATTAAAAATTAATTAAATATCAATACTATTAAAACGAAAACAATTTTTATCTACTTACAAGTACAACAAGTTGAACCACTACATTTATTTAATTTTATGGTGTATTACATACAACAAGTTTAGTTATTATTAAATAAGTACATAAACTTAATATATTATTTAAATATATTCAAAATAAGATATCAAAAAGATATTTTTAACTATTTTTTCAAATTTCAATTGCTACCCGTTCCGTCCGACCCGTTCTATAGCGGATTGAGTCATTTTTCGACTCAAAAATTTGATCTTCCTGACCCTTAAAGAAAATATATTTTTGCAATAATATTTTTTATAAAATTTGAAAGAAAATCAGCCCATTAATGAAACCGTTACTATACAGATTTTAAGTCCAAATGAAAAAGACTAACATACTATTAATGAAAAATTAAATTTGTTCATAAAATTAAAAATAATTTAAGAAAACATAAATCACTCATTAAAAAATGATCATATTTTAATAATATTGATATAACTCATATTTAAAATTTTCATTAAAAATAATTTGGTCTACTAAATTTAGAGACAATTGACATATATTTTAGAGAGAATTAGAGAAATACCCATAATGGAGGCTCTAATTAGTGGTTTACCCATGATAGGATATTTGGGGATGAAAACATACATTTTGTTTGGTTTTGGACGAAAATGCTTTTGGCAACTGACACACTTTTCTGATGGTTACAGAGAAGTGACAGTCCTATTACCTATACCTACATCACTTTTGTCCACATGTTTACTAGATTTTTTAAAAGGCTAACAATATTAATGAATAATAATATTTTTGAAAAATATAATATCAAAATATTTTAATAGATAAAATAATTTAATATTTGATATGATTGAAAACATAAATTACAATTGACTACAAGATCTCAACATCTCTAAAATTTACAATTTGTTATAAATTCGATATTAAAGGTATTTGTTAACCGTTAACAGAATTGTTAACATTCATAAAATTTATTAACAGTTAATGTATCTGTTAATAATCACAATTGTCGATTGTTAACAAAGTTGTTAACGGTTAACAAATAATGTAGATGTTAACAGAGATTTTAGCTGTTAATAAATACATGTTCCAGATGTTAACAGAGGTGTTAGTTGTTAACAAGTATACGTATCAGAGGTATTAACAGAAATGTTAGATATTTTTAAAAATTATATATCTTAATAGAGGTGTTATGAATTTTAAAATTAAAAATTATTATTTAAGAATCAAAGTGAACTCAAAATAAAAAATACTTAACATTTTTATTTTGCATGTATATTTATTTTACATAGTTAGGAGGGAATGTTTTTAGTGAAATTTAGAAGAAGAAAAACTGACACACCCACATGCATGAAAGAGAGAGAATGAATGGCATTTTTGTTATAGGAAATTAATTAGTCCCATTATAGACAAATCACTAATATAGACCCCATTTGGGGTGTCTCAGTAAATTATCTCTATATTTTATCATTATAAAGTCCTGAAACAGCAACATCATCTGTACTATTTGCATCTCTGTTGCCAAGTCAATGATCCATCAGCTACCTATGACACGTGTTAAGATTCTATATCAGAAGCGACAAATTAAAGAAGCAATAATTAAAGAAATGTTATGCCAAGAAATGATCAATGTTTAGCAATTTTCCTAGATTCTAAAACTAATTTGATATTTGATTAAAATCCACCAAAGCATGAAACACACAACCCATAATAGTTTTAGCATTTAGTTTACCTTCCATCAGGAGAACTCTTATTATATACGCCTACATGTCAACATATAAAATAACCCTAGAGGAGTACGAAGAGGTGTTTCTTTTCGAACACATTTATTTGTTAGAAAAAGGTATGTTGATTTTAACATTAATAAGCAGGTTTTCTAAATTGGAATTTTTCTTAAAATCCTGGCTTTCAAATTTTAAAATGGCATTCAAAATATCTAGTATATTATTTGCCGCTTAAAATAAAATGAAAATATCTAAGATAATTGTATTACATTTATAATGTTTTGAAGTTAAATTTTGTTACAAAAAAATTTGTTGATGAAATTTAGTAGTAGAACATATGATATATATATATTTAAAAACATGCAAACTATAAAAAGTTAAAAGGTTAACAACATATTTTACAAAAAATAATTTCTCGCTAATATTTCAATTAAATTAAAAAATAAGTACATATCTTTATTTAGTTCATATTTTCATAAAATTAAAAGCGGCTAACTTCTGTTTTACACCCCTGTAAACATGAGTTTTAATATAAATCTTCTTAGATAGGTTTTTAATAAGTAACTGAAAAATACCAGAAATAATTAACATATTACACTATGACAATAAATTTTATAAAAGATTATAATTAACAATACAAATGAAGACTATCGTTGCTTTTAATATATATGACGTAATAGACGACATTAAATCATCTATTTTTGTATAAATTTAAATTATGTATTAAACAAATGCGCAAACGGTCGGGTCAGCTTCTAGCTGAATTTTTTTATTATTTGCACAAAAACAATTATGTATCATACTGAAAATAGTAAGTACTTTCCTTGGCGTCCAATTTACAGAATCTTCACTCTTAAAATTATTAAATGTTTTTTTTAACTTACCTTGTCTCCACTCTTGAAATTATTTTAAGTGCTTTTTAACTTGTCTTGGGATGCTTTTCAATTAAGTAGTTGTGGGTCTTTGATTTTTTTTTTTTTCTTTTTTAAATTGGGTATCTGAGAACATGATTTTAGAAAATGAGTGCCCGTGTTGCACACCTTGAAATGTGAAGAAGATGACGTGCTCTAGGCACACCTTCCTCGAACTTGCCTTCTTTAACTATATATGTATCGATTGAACGAATATTTTCATTATACAGTTTTCTTTTACTACTTGACTAACGGCGAATGCAAAGAATCTCCGAAAATCTGGAGTCCACACCTCATGATGCCTCTGCCTCTGCCTCTGTACCTGCAGATATCGAAATCGTTATCGGTGCCTCTGCCCCTGCACCTGCAGAAGACTTAGTAGCCGGCACTAATGTTCAAGATGGTGACTCAGAAGCTCATCATCGCTGGAACTCGTGTTGGGTGAGTGACTATTCTTCCAAATGAATAATTTATTCATCTCGTATACTTAATTGTTTAAGAATCGCTCCTCTTATACTACTAGTGCACGTCCTTGATGTCACGGAGGAGCAAACCAAATGTTGAAGCAGTAAGCGTCACATCTCTCGTAGTTAGTTAGTAATAAAATCACAATTTGTTTTCTTTCTAATCTATGTTTTTTTTTTATTTCCTGTGATAAAAAGTCAGTAAGTGATCATCCAGAAACAGAACAAGCAAACGGTACATATATGTTCTTGTCTTTAAAATATTCGGTTTTGATTAATAATTCACAATGGATTGATTTTGTTTCTTCGGTTCAACCCTCAGCTACTGGCGGGTTTGTGATTGAAGTGGACAAACTCACCCAAGTGGTCAGAGATCGTGACCTTCAAGCTCTGAATCAATATAATGGGGCAAGCACTTCTGATAACTTCTCTTTATCAATTCTTCTCTTGTGTCTCTGTTTCTTAGCTTATGATTTGCTCTGATAGGTTGAAGGGTTGTCATCTCTGCTGAAGAGTGACCTTGGAAAGGGCATAGAACGGCGCGATGATGAGATGCTGCAACGTAGGAAGGCTTTTGGGTCAAACACATACCCTTCCAAAAAGGGAAAGACTTTTTGGGTATATGCAGCAGTTGTTACATAACAAGAATGTTTCCTCTGTTTTTTTTTGGTTGAGTAAGGGCTTAAAGTTAAAACCTTCTGTTTTTCATTTTTTTTTTGCCGAGAAAAGGCTTAAAAGTTAGGGTGAATTTGCTGAATATACCAAACAAAGAAGTTATTTAGGAATTTGCCTTAGTTTAGGGGGAGAAAATAATAGTGGGGGGAGGAGAGAGAATGGGGAAATAGAGTATATAGCTAATTTGATGGTTTTGTGTGTATACACAATGCAAATACTCTAAAAGTTAAAATCTTCTGTTTTTCATTTGTTTTTTTTTTTGTTGAGAAAATTCTTAAATGTTAAAGAAATCCTTGTTTTTCATTTGTTCTTTTTTTTTGTTGAGAAAAGGCTTAAATGTTAAAATCCTCTGTTTTTCATTTATTTATTTTTTGTTGAGAAAATGCTTAAATGTCAAAACCCTCTGTTTTTCATTTGTTTTTTTTGCTGAGAAAAGGCTTAAAAATTAAAACCCTCTTATTTTCATTTGTTTTTTTTTTTGTTGAGAAAATGCTTAGATGTTAAAACTCTCTGTTTTTCATTTGTTTTTATTTTTCTGAGAAAATGCTTAACAGTTAAAACCCTCTTTTTTTCAATTGTTTTTTTTTTGTTGAGAAAAGGCTTAAATGTTAAAACCCACTGTTTTTCATTTGTTTTTTTTTTTGAGAAAAGGCTTAAATGTTAAAACCCTCTGTTTTTCATTTGCTCTTTTTTTTTTTTGTTGAGAAAAGGCTTAAATGTTAAAACCCTCTGTTTTTCATTTGTTCTTTTTTGTTTTGTTGAGAAAAGGCTTAAATGTTAAAACCCTCTGTTTTTCATTTGTTCTTTTTTTTTTGTTGAGAAAAGGCTTAAATGTTAAAACCCTCTGTTTTTCATTTATTTATTTATTTTTGTTGAGAAAAGGCTTAAAAGTTAAAACTCTCTATTTTTTCATTTGTTTTTTTTTGTTGAGAAAAGGCTTAAATGTTAAAATCCTCTATTTTTCATTTGTTTTTTTTTTCTGTTGAGAAAAAGTTTAAATGTTAAAATCCTCTGTTTTTCATTTGTTTTTTTTTTTTGTTGAGAAAATGCTTAAATGTTAAAACTCTCTGTTTTCATTTGTTCTTTTTTGTTGAGAAAATGCTTAAATGTTAAAACCCTCTGTTTTTCATTTGCTTTTGTTGTTGTCAGAGCTTTGTCTGGAAAGCTTGTCAGTTTCCTCTTTCCTTGGTTATGATCATTGCTGTTGTAATCAATTCACTCCTCCTGCGAATAAAAAGAAAGGTCAGTGGTTTCTTCAAAAGATGATGATATATACTTCTTTCTTGTAACTGAGATTACCAGCTCGCTTTTGCCTGCAATTCATGTTAATTAGTAACGGAAGTTTTGGTGGTACATGAATAATATATAGAGACTTGGACCAGTTCATGCTAAACTTGACATCTAACTTAACATATATAGCATATCATATGGTTCTTTTAGAGTTGGGCTCTACTAGACCGTGTGTATCATGTGGTTTGAATTTATTTCTATATCTTACTCTCATGACACTTGCAGGCTATCCACGATGGATTGTATGTCGAAACTTGTGCCATTTCGGCCACTGTCCTTGACATCTTTTTGAGAGGTATCATCTTTGATGCTTGGCCAACTCTAAACTTGTTTTTGCATTCACTGTCCTTTCAAGGCCAGATCTGAGATTTCAGGGGTCTAAAACATTTCTCAAAGAACTTTTATAAATTTTTTTTTTTTTTCATAATTTGGGGACCTTTAACTATGTAAAATCTCTCCAAAAATTTTAGGGGTTGGAACCAATGTTTCATCCAGCTCTGGTCCTTTGAGACTTTGGAAGCTGTAGATGACTTAATGAATGCTTTAATAATTTTTTTTTATGTATTTGGGCCTACACTATACCTATATATATGCAACTTTCTTTAAAAAATTTGGGACTATAGACCAATGTTTCATTTGGTTATGCCCAGAACTGCCATGTTTGCATTTCAATTCTCAGATGTGAGTATATGGAAACAATCTGATTTATTTTGTCTGTCTCCTGTTTTGCAGCTTTCACCGAGTACAAGCAGTCTCGTCAGTCTAAAAAGGCTAGTGAGGAGAAGAGAAACGTACCTCAAGACGTATGTTGTTGCAAACGAGTTTCTCCTGTCACTTATTGTTAGGTTTGCTGAACGTTTTCCGATGCAGGTTATTAGAAGTGGCAGAAGACTCTCGGTTTCTTCCTATGATATTGTCGTCGGCGATATTGTACCCCTCAAGAATGGTTGTCAGGTAAGCATTGACACTTTTATTTTATTTTTGAGCTTCACACTTCAGTTTTCTGAATTGTGGTCTCTCACTGGTGCAGGTACCTGCAGATGGTGTCCTGTTTGTTGCAAACTCGTTGAGGATTGACGAGCAAGAAATAACTGGCTCACACTTGATTGTATGATGTACCCATGTTAATGCGCTATATCATTACCTCTCTCTCCTGTATTTCTAATCACCATTTTCCAACATTATCAGGTTCAAAAAGATATTCTAAAAGATCCATTTCTGTTATCTGGTTCAAAAGTGATAGAGGGCATAGGTACAATGCTGGTAAGCTCTCTAGGCTCGTCTTCTAAGTACATTTTCAATTTCTGTGGTTTTTGTATGTAATTTTTCTGATTATGTGACTATATCTTACATTTACTCTAAACTAGGATAAGATCCGCGCCTTGCGCGGGATGAAGCTATTATTTTTATTATGTTTTGAAAAATGAAACAATAGTTCGGTTTCATTCGGATTATAGGTGCTCAATCCGGATATCGGGTTTCGGTTCGGCTCAATTTTTTGTCCGATTTTTTGGTATTTCTATCATTAAAATATAACTACTATTCTAAATCTATATGTACTACAGTTTGATTTGGTTTATATACCATCGGTTTTCAGTTTATTCAATTTTATACCAAAAAACAGAATTATTTAGTTTGAGATCATATTATATATTATACAAATATATAATATGATCATATTTAGAGTCATATTGCCACAGGGTCATTTATTAAAAAAATATTATATATTTAAATAAAAGAAAAAAATAAAAAGGCTTCTATCATCTAATAAAATGATCAAATCTAGAATTAATATCAAAACACTAAATTTTGAAGAAAAAAAAACAGAAGCATGAAAGAAAAGTTTTTATATTCTTCCATATTTAGTGTTCATCAAACCAATATGTCTTTGATTGAACACAACTCTGTTTGTTTAAAGATAAAAAAAAATTGTAAAGAATTTCAAC